TGATAACATTGATACTAAGGAAGAAAGTTTTAATTATAATTATTTATTGATCATATAAGTGAGTTTATTTAATCAAACCGCGATACTAAGCCATTAAAAAGTAAGATTTCTTGAAAATTCAGAATTTTAGATTGAATATTGCATTCCCCTTTTAATCGAATAGCCCGCTTAATAGCATAGATTTAGCTGGAACCGATGGTATTAATTTAAGCGGGGTTGACTGTTGCTTTTAGTAGCCTCAAGCATGAAAATAGTTGCCTAAAACCATAAAAATAGTTGCCTGAACAAGAGCAAAAATTTGTCAAATATAGTAGCCAAATTAAATAAAAAAATTATACTATTATTATACTATTTTCATTATTATATTATTATGCTATTTTTTTATTATATTATAATAAAAAAATAGCTTAATTGTCAATTACTATGATAAGGACTGGTTGATGTCAGAAACTTTAAATCGTGATACATCATCCGTAAGACATCGGGATTTAGCATATGTTCAGAAATTACCTATGGGAAATCAATCAAAAATAAATAAAAAGGAATAAATCTATTACAAAAGAAAATATTAATTCTAAACATATTCTACTATAATATCAATATCATTGCTTAATTTTTTCAATTAAAATAATAAAGAAGTAAAAGTAAAAGCAAACCCAAGATTTATTTCATTTGTCTTAAATTAAAAATGATTAAAGATTTATTGGTTTAAAAATAATAATACTGTAACAAAATATTTTACATATGTGCATTAAAATTAAAAGAAAAAAAACGAAAGTAGAAAACAAGCCAAAGAAATGTTCACTTTAGAAAAAAAATTATTTTTTAAAATTATTTGTTGGAAAAAAAACCATGCTTCTGAAACATCATTAGACCCTCTTTTACTCAATTTTTTAAAATAATATAAAGTAGTATTAACTAATGGTCAAATTCTGTACTAAATAAATGTAAAAATATTTTTACTTACTTATTATTATTTTCGTCTTTGAAAATAAAATTGACTAAAGATTTATTTCTTTAAAAATGACACTGACTATCTAACAAATTATAAAACAAACAAGTATTTAAAGAATTTTAATAAAATTTTTAAAAAAATACTTTAAGTACTAATGTTAAATTATTAAAAAGCATCCAAACATTACTAAACTCTTTATTTAATTTTTTTAAAAAAATTTTGTTTTTTAACTAATAGTCCAATTTTTTTAAAACTTTGTTTTCAGTTCCTCAAAAATAAAAGCAAATTGAATAAAGGTAAATTTTATTTTGATTTTTTTATAAATAAAAACAACTGAACATTTATTGGTTTAAAAATAATCAAATTATTATACTTACCTACATTAAATAAATTTGAAAAAAAACTAACTTTTTATAACAAAATTAAGAACAAAATACCCCTATTAAATTGTATCGCTTAAAATGAAAAATAATAATTGAAAAAAACCAATGAAGAAACTTTTTTAATTTATATTTTCTTTTCATTGATCTATTGAGTTCAGAACGAAAGTTTAAGATAACAGCGATTGTGCAGCAATCGCAAAGTAACAGTAGGTCTACGAAANGCAGTTGGCAGCCCTGTTATTACAATAAGTATTTAGTTCGAATTTATGTTTGGTTTCACTATAATATTATGTAAGTATACATTTGATACCTTTTAACTTTTAGCCATAAAAAAAACAGGTAACTATTACCATACATATATGCTAAATTTTATAAAAAATTTTATTAGGTGAATACTTTCTTTCATCACCTAACATAAATCATAGTAATTTTTATGATTTAAACTTGTTAAAATAAAGCTGGAAATTAGATTAAATTAGGCAATTTGTTATTATTATTTTGGTATGACTACGTTTTTATTATTTTATTAGCAAATCCTAGTCTCACTTTTATATTTCATAAGACAAACTAAATTAAACTAAATTTAATTGTTTTCATAAACAAATCTGGAATTGTATAATCATTATTCAGCTTTTCATTTAAGCACAACCTTAAGATCACTTTTACAAGTTTTTTTTATTATTATTATTGTTATTATAACCGGCGTTGAACAGCCCACTGAATAACTATCACTGCTAAACTGCGTAGCCTTGCAATTTTGAAACCAACCCAGAAGACAAAGGAACCCCTAGATCAAGCATTGGGACAAACTAGCCATAAACAGGGTTGCCACAGTAAAAAATGAACAAAAATAGTTGCTTTTAGTATCCTCAAGCATGAAAATAGTTGCCTAAAACTATAAAAATAGTTGCCTGAACAAGAGCAAAAATTTGTCAAAAATAGTAGCCAAATTAAATAAAAAAATTATACTATTTTCATTATTATATTATTATACTATTTTTTTTATTATATTATAATAAAAAAATAGTAGCTTAATTGTCAATTACTATGATAAGGACTGGTTGATGTCAGAAACTTTAAATTGTGATACATCATCCGTAAGACATCGCGATTCAGCATATGTTCAGAAATTACCTATGGGAAATCAATCAAAAATAAATAAAAAGGAATAAATCTATTACAAAAGAAAATATTAATTCTAAACATATTCTACTATAATATCAATATCATTGCTTAATTTTTTCAATTAAAATAATAAAGAAGTCAAAGTAAAAGCAAACCCAAGATTTATTTCATTTGTCTTAAATTAAAAATGATTTAAGATTTATTGGTTTAAAAATAATAATACGGTAACAAAATATTTTACATACGTGCATTAAAATTAAAAAAAGAAAGTAGAAAACAAGCCAAAGAAATTTTCACTTTAGAAAAAAAATTATTTTTTTAAAATTATTTGTTGGAAAAAAAACCATGCTTCTGAAACATTATTAGACCCTCTTTTATTCAATTATTTGAAATAATATAAAGTAGTATTAACTAATGGTCAAATTCTGTACTAAATAAGTGCAAAAATATTTTTACTTATTTATTATTATTTTCGTTTTTGAAAATAAAATTGACTAAAGATTTATTTCTTTAAAAATGGCACTGACTATCTAACAAATTATAAAACAAACAAGTATTTAAAGAATTTTAATAAAATTTAAAAAAAAATACTTTAAGTACTAATGTTAAATTATTAAAAAGCATCCAAACATTAATAAACTCTTTATTTAATTTTTTTAAAAAAATTTGTTTTTTAACTAATAGCCAACTTTTTTTAAAACTTTGTTTTCATTTTCTCAAAAATAAAAGCAATTTAAATAAAGGTAAGCTTTATTTTAAATTTTTTATAAATAAAAACAACGAAACATTTACTGGTTTAAAAATAATCAAATTATTATACCTACTTACATTAAATAAATTTGAAAAAAACTAACTTTTTATAACAAAATTAAGTACAAAATACCCCTATTAAATTGTATCGCTTAAAATGAAAAATAATAATTGAAAAAAACCAATGAAGAAACTTTCAACTATATTTTCTTTTCATTGATCTATTGAGTTCAGAATGAAAGTTTAAGATAACAGCGACTGTGCAGCAATCGCAAAGTAACAGGAGGTCTACGAAAAATAAGTATAAGTATAAAAATAACTTCGCTAAGAGTAAAAAAGTCTCCCAATAGTCGCCTATTCCTGAAAATAGTTGCTTTTCAGGCAAAAAAAAGTCGCCATAGTCGCCTAGGGCCAAAAATAGTAGCAAATAGTCGCATTTTAGTAGCCTGTGGCAACCCTGGATTAGTGCAAATCCTTCATGAGTCTGTCAACGTACGCAATGAGAATGCCTCTACGGCAGAGCCTTAATAAGATCTAGGTCTGATGCTCGGAAAAATCTATGCAAAATCGGTCTAGTTGTTCCTGAGATATCGATTTTTAAATATCTGACTTTCTTAAAATTCAATTTCACAGAACCTATAAAGTACGTTTTTGGGTGTGATTTCGTGACTTCAAATATCGTCTGCATTAATGAATTAGCATATTTGATGTCCCCAGTCAAACCATTTAGATTGAGCCCTAGAACTTGAAGATTCGATCATTAGATCAAAAGTTATTCAGGGTGGTTCATTTTTTGCTTTTCTTACTGTACTTTATTTCTTGGAGGATATGAAAAAAGCATTGATCACTTAAATCACAAACATTTGATAATTTCCAAGCATTTCTTAATCACTGTCGAGAAAAGTATAGAGTTTGAGAGTATAAAGAACAAATTCGTAAAAAATGCTTTAGAATAAAAAACCATTTCGTGTAAATATAAATTAAAACTTCTTAATATATCTTCATATTTAACCAAGTCAATTTTTTATTCAAAATCATTTTGAATATTAGTAAAAATTAAGTTTATTTTTAAAAGTTAAGTTTGTCTTCTAAAAGTAGTGACTAAATTTTGAAAGCAGTTTGTAGTAGCTACATTTTTAAAAAAAGTAGTTGTAGTTATCTACAATTGTAAAAAAGTAGTTGTAGTTAACTACAAAGAAAGTGTAGTTCTTTCGACCACTAGGCTAGAATCTGATGTGGGAAATAACAAAAAATATTTCACAGTAAGCATTATTTAATATTGATGTTTACTTTCCAGAATTTTATTTGGGTAACAGCTGCAATTTTGAGCAGTTTTTTTTATGCAGGCCAATCCAATATTTTATTTAATTGTTAAATCAATTCGTCAAAATTTATCAAGTTTTACTCAAAATTAACTAAAAAATATGTTATTATGAAACATACAATTATATTAAATTATGCACAAATATTTTTAACAATACATTTCAGTAGACCAGTGATATTATTTGTGGATTAGTAAAATATGATGATTACTAGTCCTTAAAAAAAATAATTTTTTTTAAAAATAATTTTTAACACTATTGGTGCATTAAATTGTGTGGAAAATAGCGTTCATTATTTAAACTAGTTTGGAACTATAAACTGACAAAAAATTGTATTAGTATTTTTTAATTCCTTCTGAAAAAAGAGCTTCTAACATTTTTTCCACCTAGGGTGGGAAGAAACTTATATCTTCTGGGTCAGTTTTTTCAATTGTGGTAGAAACACGACATATCTCATTAAAATCACTTCAATTTCTTTTCTGTTGTGATTCCTTCATTTTTGAGACTTTTTTTCACATGAGTTAGAGAATGTCTGATCAATTTATTACTTTCTCTAAACGTTTTTTCACACAGACTGCAAGAGTAGGGCCTCTCCCCTGTGTGAATACGAAAATGTTTACGTAAGCTACTTTTATCTGCAAACGCTTTGTCGCAAACAGTGCAAGGATAAGGTCTCTCTCCACTATGGACACGTGAATGTCTGTTTAAATTACTCTTAAATGTAAACGTTTGACTACACAAACTACACGAAAAAGGTTTCTCTCCAGTATGAACGCGAAAGTGACGTTTCAACCTATTTTGGTCTGAAAATGTTTTATCACACACGCTGCACATGGGTAATTCCTTAGTATGAAGAGCCAAATGTCTGGATAAACTACTTTTCAATAAGAATGTTTTACTGCACACGTTACACGCATGTAATTTCTCTTTTACGTGCAGGCGCGAATGCTCCGTTAAATTACTCATAAACGGAAATGTTTTTTCACACACGCTGCACGAATAAGGTTTTTCTTCGGTATGAACGCGAGAATGTTTAAGTAAATTGCTCTCAAATGCAAACGTTTTGCCGCACACATCACACGAACAAGATGTTTCTCCGACATGAACTTTAGCGTGCCTCTTTAAATGAACTCTTTGCTTGAAGCATTTGCCACACGTGGTGCACGAATGGGGTTTCTCGTTCGTGTGAGTGAGATAGTGTTGTTTTAATTGGGCCTTTTGAGTAAAAGCCTTATCACACATACTGCAAAGATAAGGTTTTTCTCCTGAATGAATACGAGAATGTTCAATTAATTTGAAGTTATCTGAAAATATTTTGTCACAAACGCTGCAAGAATAAGACTTTTCATTACCAACATTAGATGCTTTATTTAAGTTCCTCTTATCACACTCACTGCATAAATTAGATTCATCATTAGAATCCATGGAAAGTTGTAAATTAGATGAAAATGTTTTATTACACACACTACATGAATAATCTTTCATCGCAGAATCACCAAAATTGATATCAGCTATTTTATCGTATGAAGATGGTTTTATTTTAGAATGAATGCGAAGGTGTCGATTTAAATGGGCCTTTTGTGAGAAAGATTTATTGCATACATTACAAGAATGAGGTTTGTTTCCCGTATGAGTATGAGAATGTCGGTTTAATTTACTTTTAGATACAAACGTTTTACTGCATCCAATACAGGTGTAAGATTTCTTCTTAAAATGAACACTAGAAAGCAAATTGCTCTCCATAACGAATATTTTATGCTATACGTAGTAAGATTTTCATCAGAGACATATTTTCATTTAAAGGAAACAAAAACAAAAGCATATTGATTCATTGATTGTGAGTATTGTAAAGTGCTACGAGTTCTCTGCTTTTGCTTATAGCTTTGTATTTCAATAGGTAAGGCTTAAGATTGGGGCTGAGTAGATAGCACAATGTTGAAGCGAAGCTAGAAAGAACTTAACGAGAGATTGGATTTTGGCCCGGGGGTAACAATATCAGTGAAAGCTGGGTACTGCAGGGATAAGGTTTGAGGGAGGTCTTTACGAGCATTTTGATAAATCGCGGTAATCTTGGCTAATTTGGGCGGTAATCTTGAAATTCGTCGAGGTTGTTGTTAATTTACATCGCACTAGAGCTGCACAATGGGCTATTGGCGACGGTCTGGGAAACATCTCAGAGGATGATCCGAAGACATGCCATCACAATTTTGATCCTCTGCGGAGGGGAAGGCACCCCCGCTTCGGTAGCCCGACGACCTGCGTGCGAGGTCGAGTACTTTACGTCAGAACAGTTTAATGAGGACCGATACCGCGCACCCTAGGTCCTTACGCAAAGTGATTCAAGTGGTCACCCACCCGCACACTGACCGTAGCCAGTGATGCTTGACTTCGGTGATCTGCTGGGAACCGTGCCTTAACGATCAGTCCACTGCGGGACTCGTCGAGGTGCGGAAAGAAATGGAAGTATTTGCACTCTTTCCCTTCTCTGTGTTCTTTATTGAGCTCTTCTTTCAAAACACTTGACTAAGATCTTGGGGTGCTGAAAGGCGCGAAATAAGATCTTGATTTAGTGCCTGTTTTGCGAGTTAGTCAGCTTGTTCTTTTTCTATAATACCAGAATGGGATGGGACCCAAATAAATGAGAGAGAATTCACAATTTGACTTGATTTGGCTATTTGGTCTAGGACAGAGGTCGCCAAAGTGGTCTATATAGACTCCCAAGGGTCTATTTAACAAAAGCGGGGGTCAATCTGAACCAGGGGGTGGATCCGAATCGGAAGTGTCGATTGGGGGTCGAAGAAAAAACAGTTCCTAATACGCAAATCACACATACCCAATAGAGTATGTAAAATGTGTGATTTTTTTTATAATTGACTTAATATCAGTTTCTTTATAGAACATAAACTAATAAACATATTTATTCGGGTGAAACAAGTATTTATGTAATTAAGTATGTTTAAGCACTTAACCATTATAAAGTGATCAAGAGATTCTTCTGTTCGATATCAGTTAGTGGAAAATGAAGCCAGAAATTGAAAATATCTTGCAAAATGTAGCAGAGTTGCACACGAGAGTGTAATAAAATCAGTAATAAAAATTAGTTCAATTAGAATTCCAACACCTTTTTTGGATCTAATAAAGATGTAACAAAAATTATTAAAATAATAGCCCCACCAAAAAAGGTTTCAAAAAATGTCTAACCTCTTAAGTAAAAACTAATGTTTTATTTTACTACGAAAATTGTTCCCCTCCAAAAATTATTTTTAAATCCAACCCACCACTGAAAAAAAAAAAAAAATTCTCATCCCCCACAATATAAACTTTTAGGTGTAAATGCGCTTCTCTTATTTGTTATGAGATTGTAAAGTTGTGAATTGGTAAATAAAAAAATTTGGCTGGAAAAAATTTTCTCACAGTTAAAGATTTAAAAAATTATCTCCTCTAAATAGTATTAAAAAAGCTACCTTAAGTAATAAAAAAATATTCTTTAAATCTAATTTAAAGTTTTTTAAACTACAAAATTGTACTAAAGTTTTAAAAAAAAGCCACCCCGCCTCCCAAGTTATAGCACCGTGCCCTCTTGGCACCGCCCTGGATATTATTTAAATAATTTAACAAGTAATACTTAAAAAAATAATGATTTAAAATGCAAACTATTTTTTTTAAAAGAAATTAGTTTTATTTTTTAAAAGAATTTTTTTTCAGGGGCTGTATAGTGCAAGACTCAAAAATTTAACTTAAGCAAGACTTAAAATTTTGCATGCCTTGCCAGGAATATTGGCCCAGAAATGAGGAGATGCTTGAGCATCCTCTTCAATCATATATTAATAAAAACATTAAAGTATCTATTATTGATCTGTCGGAAAAAGTTACGCTGTTATATATTGTATCAATACTTTTGTTCTAGGTATAAATCAAGAATAATTATGTATTATTAAGAAAATAGTATTACATTATTAACAAATAAGTTTTAGTAAGTATTCCGCATATTGGAGTAAACACAGAGCATTATAATTAACTAAGAAGTAATATTATCAAAATAATGAAATACCAATAATCCTTCAACATGCTATTTTAACACATTTAGTAAATTTTTATTAGTATAAAATTCATAAATATTTATGTCCTAACAAATTTAAATGATTTGCTATTTTCCCCCCTCCCTTTTTGGTACCCCGTATTTGTCCATTCAGCCTCATAGTGATTTTCATAAATTTTAGGGATGTTAATCAGTGTTTCTGGCTCAATATTTACAGGTCTGTTTGAGCACATAAAGCTAAAATATACTTGATCAATGAGTATTTTTACATGACCAACGTACATACAGGCAATATAATTTTTGAAGTGTGAATAATTGGAACACTAAGTGGAATATATCATAAAGCTCAATCTCCGAACACCAGAATTGTTAGAAGTTGTCCTTTATTTTAAATCATTATAAAAACCCAAAATAAAATTAATATATAGTCAAAATAAACAAATAATATAATAAATCATAGTTAACAAAAATAAAGAACACTACATAGGTAATTATATCAGTAAAACGTATCATATAAACAATAGTAGTATTATATTGCTAATACATTTTCTTTCTAATTAGAGAACCATGTAACACCCCACCCCCCCTTTTTTTTATCACATCTAGATTCTTAATTGAATTCAGAATCATGCAACAAATCATAATGCAAAATAATTCATTTTTAAAGAATGATTGAATGAATAACTGAAGTTATATTAAGAAATTAATAACTAGTAATAAAAAAAAAGTTAGCTCATCTATAGCTCCAGCATTTTTTGCGGTATAAAAGAATAATTTTTATCCATAGAATTGGTAAGAATTTCTTGATTATCTAACCCATCCATATCTATATTCGAACCAAATCAAGAAAGAAATTGATAAAATCTTTATCAAAATTTTTAAATCTATTGAAACTTTTAAATAAAAATAATTAATGTTTCCCAACACTTTACATATACACAATCAATTCAGAATTTTTAAGATAATTTCATTATAAAAAATCCTTACAAGGTAAAAAAAATTAACCAAATATTTTTCAAAGTGTGTTGGTTTTTTCTCTTTAAGTTTTTAAAATTAGTGTTTTCTTAATGTCATTACCAATCAACAGAGCCGGATTATACCTAGTCAAAGTGAACAAATCAAAATTAAATTTAGAAAAGACCAGAAAAAAGATTCAAAAATTCATATTGCATGTATTCGTTTAAACAGAGAAAAAAAAACTACTCCATGATCAATGACACATAAACTTTATATTAAGAATATTGCTTTTTTTCCCCTCGGAGTATATTACTCATTTACAAGCTTGATTATTGCTCACTTAAAAAATAAAATTACATTAATACAACAGGTAAAGACATTTCATGTAACAGTTTCATTGTCCTTTTCGTCAAGAAAACAAACCTCAAACTGTTATTTTTCAAATATTTTTTTTTTTGTAAATGTGGGAGGTATTTTTAGTCTTTTTGAATATAGAGAAGTACAAAAACATTGAGAAACAATTTAAATACGATAACTTCATGGTGAAAGTCATAATCAAATGAAGTCAAAATAAAAAAATTTCATTTTATTTATATAGCTATTAAAAAATACATGGGAAAATAATTGATGTTGCTATTATTAGGAGATAATTTCAGTCTTAGCAATAATATTCATCATTATTTTAAATGAGATGGAATAATAATAATAAAATTAACAAAAAATTAGTGTTGACAAACAATGATTTAGACATGTCTATTATAGACATGTGATTGCTAGATAAAGAAATTATCTGAAATTGTTTTTATCAATGTGTAGTTTTTTTCAGTATTTAACTTTTTTTTCTTCTACATAGGAGATATTTAAAAGACTTGTTGAATTTTTTAAAAAATCTAATAATAAGATCGAAACACAGATTTCATTTGAGTGCGTTGAAAAGTGATTACTGAAATACATGATTCGAGATTTCAATGTCGTAATATCATATTAAAAATTAACTGAATCCAATTGAAAAAAGGGGCAAATATGTCCCATTGATTAAATAGAAACTAAAAATGTTTTTAAAAAAATGAGAAAAACACCTTTATTTCAAGCAAACTTTTTTTTTCAATGTTTGCTCTTTCAGAATTACTGTTAACATAAAATTTTTTAAACTTTTGTGTTTTCCTTAGTAGTTCATTAATTTCAAAGTTTAATAAAGAAAACTTTCCTTTCTCAAATTTTATCCGAAGCTGCGTTTCTCTCTAACAAATCTGCGTAAAAAATAGTGATTGCGCGTGAATGAGAACATACAAAATAATAAATTTAAATAAATAAATAAAAGAGGGAGCTGGTAAGAGTGGAATAAATGGCTCGTTAACGAGATTTTGCGTTACAAAAATTTAATTTTGGATTAGCTGAGTTCTGAGAATTTTTTTCGGAATATAAATTATTGATTCGCGGATTTCCGCGAATTAGTGGAAGAATCACATGCTCCTATTAGCAAATGTCACAAATAAAAATAAATTCAATTAAAAATACCAGTTTTTTATAGTTTTATTGTAGTAAATAAAATTAGTTTCATCGCTAAATTTATTTTTAAATTACGAAATTAAAATATTTTATGTTAGCAGTGCAAAATAGAAATTAATATTAATCACATAAAATAGAATAGTACATTTTTAATTGGGCTGAGGTATAAGTAGTCTTCTAATGCAGTTTCAAAAACTTAGATTAATTAAACAAGATTATCTATTTGGAAAAACAAAGGCTGACATTTTCTTTCAGGCCTATATTAAAGTTGTCATTTCAAAGAAGAAAATATCATGTTTCCTCATTTAATTAATCAGAATACCTTTAAAAAGGTTATTTACAGTTAAAAAAATGATTAATTCACATTTTTAGAATATAATTTCATTGCTCAACTTTTTTTTAAAAATATTTTGCTTCATAAAAAAAAAAAAAACACCCACTTTCATTGTAGCATAATTTTTATATATCCAGTAGTTTGAAAATATTGCAAATTAGTATTATTGTAAACAGCATTTATGATCAGATCAAATTCTTTTTTTAAATTAATAAGTAAAAATTTTCTGTTTATTAAAAATTAGAGGTGTTTACTTTGCTTTGATTAATTTTATATTACTTTTTTATTTAATATGTTTTCACACTAAAATTTTTTTATTATTTGATAAATTTAATGTGTTTAGAATACTTATTTTGGAAATTTCCTCTCATCCTGATGGTGCCAAAGGATTTTTGCGAGTGTTGATAGATTGACAGGATAATCCCGATGTTCCAAATTTACTTATCAGAACATTTACTCAAATTACTAGTCATGTCTAAAAGTTACTATATTTACAAAATAAAACAAACAATTATTAATTTGACACAGATGATTACAAATATATAAAAATAATAATGATAATTAAACTATTCAGGACAACATAAGGTTTCTCAAGTGATCCAGTCCCATTGTTTTATCCAGGCTGTGCTTTTACTATTTAAAAGTTTTTAGACACAAATATGTTATCAGTCACACATACTTTATAAAGTCAATTTTTGCCTTTTTTTTAATTTTTTAAATCAGTATGCTCAATGAGTTAATTGATCTAAATTTATTTTACTCCATGAAAGTTTTACTACACAAAGTCTAAATAGTTTTTTTTTTTTAAATCCTGTATAAGAATGTTCACTTTTTTAGAAGTAACTTTTCAAAAAAGTTACTTCTAAAAAAGTAACTTTTTCTCAATATTAAAATTTGAGTTTTTTACTTAAATTGCAGCACAGCACCATTTATCTGAACTTTGATAATGCAAATTTCCAAACTAAACAGATAGGACAATGACAAGGGATAAAAATTAAGACACTGGTTCAAAGGAGCAGTATAGTTTCTCAAATGTAAGAACTTCCCTAGCTATTCATCTGGACCCGCGGCGGTGACTATGGTAACGAGGTATAACTATTTCAAGTAGGAATGTGGGGTCACTGTTTAGGACAAGTTTTGGCTCGAGGATACGAGTGAAAGGTAATTCTTTTCTCAGGTCTATTGTGTTAGCGTTAGCCCCAGAGTGAAGAGAAGCTACCCGCCTTGAAATGCATTACTCTTGTATCCATAGCAGCAGATGGCCTCAGACTTTGCAGCAGGGGAGTTCTTACCATAGACAAACTATAACTAAAATGTTTCCCACATCCATACACATTTTCATAGGTCTGTTTACATATCACTATTAGATTTTTTTAAGGTAATAAAGTGAGTTTAAATTGCAGTACAAAGTTATGTAAACAGTGATGGTAAAATAAGCTATTTTGTGATAAAACCATAACAAAATAAACTATCCCTTTATATTGAATGCTGATTTGTAGGAAACATTGATACTTAATTATTGATGGATCCATTCAAACAGAGTGGCCTTTAATGAATTGACCACAGTTCATTTTGAGTTCTGTCAACTGTATCAGATATTAAAGAAATAAAATTTTAATTTGAAATTTTGCACCCAATTGAATGCAAAAACCAGCTTCGCATGCGCTGTTGTTGAAAATTGTTGAACCATCGGGACTGGCCTCGCTCGAAAGTCTGTTTCGTAAAATACAAGTAAGAACAGAAGAATATTCACATCATGACTAAGGATGGATTCTGTCTAGCATGAACATTATGATGCCTATTTAACTTACTTTTGTCAATGAATTTCTTACCACATACACTGCAAGAGTGGGGTTTATCACCAGAATGTATGAGGAGGTGTCGATTTAAACTACTTTTTAAACTGAAGGAGCTCCCACACAAACTGCAAGAAAAATGCTTCTCCCCAGTGTGAGTAAGATAGTGTTCGTTTAAACTAGCTTTTTGAGAGAAACTCTTATCACACATAGTACACAAAAAAGGTTTCTCCCCAGTGTGCACCAGATAATGTTTACTTAAATTACTTTTATCTGTGAACTTTTTATTACACACGTCACACGCATAAGGCTTTTCTCCAGTATGAACGCGTGAATGCTTCATTAAATTATATTCGAAAGCGAATGCTTTGCTACACACTCCGCACACGTGAGCCTTTTCTCCTGTATGAACACGAAAATGCTTTCTTAAGGTACTTTTAGTGGAGAACTTTTTGTCGCACAAATTGCACGGATGAAGGTTATCCTTAGAGTGCGTTGCAATGTGTCGCGTTAAATTTCTTTTTATGGTAAATGTTTTGGAGCACACGTCGCACGAATAACTCTCGTCTCCAATGTGAACGTGGGAGTGTTTCTCTAAAGTACTTTTTTTTGCAAATGTTTTACCACATACAGTGCATAAATAAGGTACTTTTTCAGCAAAAGTGGGTGGGGTAAAGTTGTATGATTTATCACATGCACTACATATGTAAGGCTTCTTTTTATTTTTCAAACTGATTTTATTATTGAAGTCATTTTCCATTTCAAATACTTTACCACATACATAACATGTAAAAGATGATTTTTCAGTTTGAGTAGATGAATAGACCTCATTACCCATAGCAGATGTTTCATCACATCCAGTGCAGACATAAGGTGCTTTTCTTACCTGAGCAGGTAAGTTATTTTCTATTTCAAAAGTTTTGCAACACATTATGCATATATTGAATACTCTTTTAATTTTTGGGGACGACCGTTTATTATTTCCCGCTGAATATGTTTTATCGCATGCACCACAGATATTAGACGATTTTTTAACCTGAGTAGATAAGAGTGAGTCATTTTCCATTTCAATTGTTTTACCACACTTACAGCAAACTTCAGACGTTTTTTCAATCGGAGGAGGTGAATGTACACATTTTTCCATTGCAGTCCTTTTATCACACTCACTACAAATATAAGAAGTTTTTTCATTGTGAGTAAGCGAGATCAAGTTATTTTCATCTGCAAATGTTTTACAACACAACTTGCAAAAACGAGTTTCTTCTTCATCTTGAGAAGTTGTTTGTTCCATTTCAACTGCTTTATCACACTTACTGCAAATATAAGAAGTCTTTTTATAAAAAGTGCGTAAGGCAAAGTTATTTTCATTCGTTGATTCTTTACCACACATGTCACAAACATGAGTTTTTTCCTTCACCTGAGTAGGTGATAGAACACCTTTTTCTTCAGTATCACAGGTATTGCAGGTATAAAGAGTTTTTTCATTATGAGTAGGAAGGATAAAGTTATCTTTTATTGCAAATACTTTACCACACATATTGCAAATATGAGTTTCTTCTTCAACCAGAGAAGATGTGTGAATATTTTGTTCCATTGCAAATGTTTTATCACAGTTCTAGTAGATTAAAGAGTTTTTTTCATTATTGCATGATAAAAGACCAGTTATCATTTAAATCTATTTGCATGCGTCAATTTGAGTAGATAAGTATACAATACTTTTCACTGCAATTTTTTTTTTAAGTCACAGTACAAATAAAGATTTTTTTAATAATAAGTATATTAAAAGTAATTATATTATTTTGCAAATGTTTCACCCCATACACTACACAATTAAGACGTTCTTTCAATTTGAATAGATGAAATCATGTTCCTGAGAAAGTGATTAAACAAACTTGAAAAAATTCTTTTTTCTTAGTATAAACTCCGAAGCATCGTATTTCTTTATTTAGCTAGAATCAGGATACTTTTCTTTTAAAACATTCCGTAAGTAATAAAGTTTTGTTCCACGCAAATTTTTATCCAATTCCCAATGGGAATATTTCTTTAATTCAGTATGAAGAGAAACTGTTTAATATAAAATTGTAGAAACTAATAATATGATTTCACGATATTCGATGCATATTTTTCGACACAAAAGAATCTCCTAATCTTTATATGACTATATGGTCGCCTAATTGACCTAGAGTAAAAGTTTCGAAAACAAATTGATAACACAAAACACAAGCATCTTCTGAATCTCAACAAAAATTTTAAAGAAAAAGAAACAAACAATTATGCTGGACGCTTTTATCTATCTATTTTTGTCTATATCAAGAACCTATAAAATAAATTATTTTGTTGCTAGCTTAAGATTAACGGAAATCAAAATTGATTTTTTTTAATGGCAACATTAAAGAGGGTTGCCCTTTTCAATTATTGTGGCGACTCTTTTCACAATGTACATTCGCCCCATCGCTATTGTATTTACATAATAATAATTTAAAGTATTTTTATATTCTTTTTATTATTAACGTATAACGTACTGGCTTGACGGTGATTTTAATATAAATATGATGCTGAAGAAGGAAAAATATTTTGTGACGTCTTGAAACACGTACATAGGCTGGATATCGAAAATCGATCCGACGACAAACATCAATTCGCGATCGTAGCGGTCGAGTACGTCTTCTAGCGGGAGCCTGAAAATATCGGGCATTAATTCCATCATAACCTTTGGCAATGACGGATGCCATTTTCTTATCAGCAAATAAGAAACAAAACTTCCCTAATGCCAGAACAAGTCAAACATTGAAGCAGAACACGCCAAGCATTTGAAGAACATTTTCTCAATAATTTTTACCTGTCTATTACCAACAACATAACTTCTGATTTCATGATCACTTGCTGCTACAGATGTGTATTGGCGATCGCAACACTCGAATACGCCATCTGGGGAGAGACCGGATTCATGCCTTTAGCCCTTCCCTCTCCTCCTCTTTTCAGTTGTATAGGAATGTACTACGATATTTTCCCTTTTTGTTTAATAAAAATAATTTTTTAAAATTTCCGTGATACTGTTCTTTAGAACTATGTTTAACGTTATTTTCAGTTCCATACAGTTTTCCAACTTAAAAGATTTTAATCTATATGAAAATCAAGAGAGAAACTATCGTACTTCCTTCCTCCATGACTTTCCAAAAGCATGTGAAGTGTTGCCATAGGTAGAGAGTTCTGCTCTGCGCCACCTGCAGCCCATTTCGATAGCCAATATTACGGTAAAATAATTTTTTTGTCTTCAATTCATTACAAATTAAAGTGAAGTCAACGTTGCTTTTGTCATTCCAATGAATAAATGTGAATTCAGAACGTTCTCAGAACTGTATAATAGTAATAGAACATTCTTCAATTTTTGAAGTAATATGATTCTTTAAACTATGGAATGTAAGGTTTAAATAGACCTTTAATGTTATATCATTAAATTTAGTAAAACTATTTCTTAGGCATTAGGTTTTAACTCTTATAAGAATATACCTATCTTTTTCTGTTTATTTACAAATATTTTTCAGATGTTTTTCAGATGTTAAATTTAATAAGATGTTAAATTTAATAAGCCGCAATAAAGAAGGAACGTTACAATGCTACACGCTACATTAAAGACGCCTCCAGAGTAACTGAATGACTGTTCATATAGAAATCGCATGTATTCGTCTCATACAACAACGCCCCCTATAGTTCTTTGCGATCGCGAATTGAGACAGTTTTTGCTACCCATGTTTTGAAATGTTGGGTGTTTAATGGAGTCAATCCAGAAAGAAAAAGCATTTGACCAATGGGTAACCAGTGATCTTAATACGACAATCACAACTTTTTTGTTGATTTTTTTAAAATATTTTCCTTGATGTTATTAGCTAATGCGTATGTTAATTTTATTACTTTTAATAAATAATTTTAGTTAATATTAATATGAATGTTTAATCATTTAAGTGCATTTGCACTAATATCGTAACATTACTGAATAATTGCAATTAACGGTGCAATTATTTAATTATTTGGCTTCATAAATAAAAGGATGCATAGAAATAGAATCGTAGCTCTATGCTTTTTATAAGTGTGAAGAAGATTGAGAATTAGATTCTGGAATAGTTGTTTTTCAACAAATGTTATTTTTCAGAATCAAATTAATTTTGTTTAGTTTTCAGCACTTTTCTGCAACTTTTATTTATTAAACATTACAAATAAATCGACAACGGAGAGAAGATTCTATCTACTGATCTCTATAGAGGTTACTCGATTACTGATAGGAAAGAGTTTTGACTACCTAAGTAAAGTTAGCGTTAGCAGAACTTGCAACCTCAATCCGTGATTAGATTTAGCTATTAATTTTATCGTCAATGTTTAGGGTCATGACTACACTCCAATGAAGTTGCCTTTATATCAGCAAATCGTTCAATTTGTAAATACAACCAATTTTCAGGTAGCTTTTTTTCTCCGGTCTCTGAAAAACACTATAAAGCGAAGGGCGTGGTGTACTTAGGCCAACTAAATTTTCAGTAAAATTCAATTTTTCATAAATTTTGAAGTTTCTTTCTATCGATTGCTATTTTTTTTTTATTTTGTATTAAATTTTGTTGTTTCTGTATTATTTTTTTAATTCAGTGTAAAAAGCATTTTTGTTATTTTTTATATAATGTTGCATTTTTCTCGCAATTTAAAAAAATAATAACTTCAAGTATAATGTATATCACAGTTANCCAATTTTCAGGTAGCTTTTTTTCTCCGGTCTCTGAAAAACGAAGCGGTCTCTAAAGCGAAGGGCATGGAGTACATAGGCCAACTAAATTTTCATTAAAATTCAATTTTTTATAAATTTTGCAGTTTCTTTTTATTGATTGCTATTTTTTTTTTTTTTGTTNGTTCTTTTTTTTTTTTTTGTATTAAAATTTGTTGTTTCTGTATTTTTTTTTTAATTCAGTGTGAAAAACATTTTTGTTATTTTTTATATAATGTTGCATTTTTCTCGCAATTTAAAAAAATAATAACTTCAAGTATAATGTATGCCAACATATCTCAGTTAAGCAAGGTCTCACTTTGAACTGATAAAAAAGACGCGGTTCGCAGTAGAACACCGAAATCAAGCATCATTGACAGGGGTCAGTAAGCGGATGGGTAACAACTTCGAGTAGCCTGCTTAGAGGCCGAGGGTATGCGGTATCGGTTCTCGTTAAACTGTTCTACCGTAAAGTGCTTGACTTAACGCTCAGGTCGTCTGATTACCGAAACAGGGGGGGGGGACCCCTCTGCAGAGGATCAAAATTGCGATTGCATGTTTTCTGATCATCCTCGCAGATGCTTCCCAGACTGTCGCCAATAGCAATCTACAGTAAATTGCAAGCCCTCTTGTGCAGGTCGTCGGGCTACCAAAGCTGGAAAGCTGTCAGAGATCGGCTTTGTGATGGGATGTCTTGTGATGGACGCTTATTGACAGAAGGGCCAGTGATAATGATTAAGGGTGTTCTGCTGGGAATCGAGTCCTTACTATCAGTCCACTGCGGAACGAATGATATTTATGATCACGATGAATATTTATTTAGTAATAGCATTTTTTTTCGATAAAAATCCATGATAACGACAATTCATAATAGCGGGTGTATTTGTAGTTGCAACGAGCTTGTCGTTTTGAGCAAATATATATATTTAATGTAAAACAGCAAATAAAAAGACTCAAATATCAAAAAAGCCATATTTATTTCTGTATCTTTAATTTTGAACAATTATTTTAATTTAAAACATTGACTTGAATTGACTGCTTTTGCCCACAGATTGAACTGCGAAGTTCTGTCCTTTATAAAAGGAAAAAAATCTGTCTATTGTTTGTCTATATAGAGTGAACTCCTCTAGTCATTCGTCTGGAGAGACGATGGTTACGAGGTTTAACTGTTTCAAGTTGGATCGTTATTTAAGAAAGATTTTGAATCAGGTCAGCGAGAGAAAGGGAGTCAGAGGAGAAAGAAGTTCTCCTCTTTCGCCCCTGTTTGTGGCGAGGGGAGTTCTTTTTATGGACAAACTATATGAGATAGTTATTTGAGATATACTGCTTACGCATAATATTTAGTTTCCAAATTGCTACAATCTTTTTAAAAAAGAAAACGAAATAAATATACGCTGATTTTAAATGTAGGTTGTCAAGAAGGCAGTAATAGATATGTGGTCAAAAAAGAACACTTTTTTATAAGTATATGGTAAGATTTCAAAAAATAACAGAACTGTTCTTTTATTAGAAGATAACTTCGTTTGGTCATTTTTGCATTGCTTTATAAAAGTGAGAGGTCAAAATTGTAAGAAGGAAAAGATGTTCATTCTTCACTCTTTTGTATTGATACTATAAAAAGTTAAATATATCTTCCATTTAAATCTCTTTCGTACTGTTCCTCACTTAAACAGCAAAAAAAAAAAAAAAAAAAAAAAAAAAAAAAAAAAAAAAAAAAAAAAAAAAAAAAAAAAAANAAAAAAAAAAAAAAAAAAAAAAAAGGAAAAAGAAAAATATTTAAAAAAAAAATGGGCTGTGTTTCAGATATTTTTATGTCCGTATACCTATAGACTAGACCAACTTCACCATAATCATAAATAAAGAGTTGTAAAAGTCTATAAAAAATTAGGCTAATATAATCATTCATAAAAAAAACAGCAAATCATGGTCAAATAAGAATTCTTAAAAAATAAACAAACAGCAGCTGTCGCCATAGCAACCCACGCGCGCTGTTTACTATTGCTCTTGAACACAGTTGAAAAGTGTGATGACGTCAAAATAAGGTGAGCACGCCATCAAACCCAAAACAACATCCATTTTGCAAATGGACTTAAAAAAAATATCTATATATGTATCCCTAAAAATCTTTTTTTTTTTTTTTAGTCTTAATAACAGAAGGCTTGTAATTTTTTACTCGTTATAAAAATGCGAGTCTTGTATCAGCATTTTGACGGTGACTAAAAATTCATCGTAATAGCGGACTCGACTTAATATGTCATACTCGTTTTATCCAGCTGTTAACTGTAGTCCCGTACTGTAGTGCATGATTAATTGAGTGTAGGGTTTAATGGCGCAAACTATAGTGCAAATGTTAATGAAAACTTCGAGCTTAGTTATCTCTTAACTATAATATTGCATTGTTAGCTGCCCTTAGAGCACTAAAGCTATTTCTTTCGAAAGCTTTAAATGATTAGATAACTTTTGACTCCTGTTTATGATAATATGAAAATCAATGAAGTATATAGATTTTTAAACCTAGTAGTAATTATTTTTTTTCATAGTGAAACTTAAATTTTTAACTTTTTTTTGGTAATTTCTCCCAATGTCTCAGAATTATCATTATTATTATAATTATTAATAGTTTAGAATTTCAAATCATTTCTTACCTTAACAGATACTATCAGAATATAAGAAGTATATAGAAAAGTTTCTTGAAAAAATATTCCTGACTGGAAGAAGAGTAAAATTATAAAATTTAGGTTAAAAATTAAGCATTCTTAAAAATAAAACAATAATAATTTTCCACCTATTTTTTAAATTTTAATAATGTTGTTTTCACCTCATATAAATATATTTTAACCTCTTCGGGACGGGAGAGTCATATACGCATTTTCAAGGTGGTGACAACCATGGGTGAAAAAGATAAAATTTGTAGCCAAGTTAGTTTTAATGCAGTTTAATGGTGGGTGGAGTAATAATAGTTTGCTTTATTTAATTTACCACTACTTAGTTTTAAAAAACTATATAATTAGATTTAAAGTGAAATCAATAATGTGACGCTTATTGTCACTCAAAATTAAAATCAAGAGAAAGGGCTAAAATTAGATTTCTAGAACATTTCAGAGTCTTCGATTAAATAAATCTACCGTGGGAAATCTCCATCGGCAAATAGCAAGTTAAATACGGATAAAGTAATTCAAATAAACGATTAGGTTTAAATCTTACAATGTCACCCCCATCACGGGACAAACTCGAAAACAACAATAACTTTTGGACTTGATCTTTCCTCAGATTTGTAACTTCTTATCACCCAAAAAAATACGATATAAAAGCAGCCGAAGGAAAGGGTTCAGAAAAGCAATCAAAGGAGCAATCAGTCAGAGTGTGTCTGAAACCGAAACAATGACTAAACTTGGTAAGTCTCTCTCCATCTATTCTGAAAACACGTAAGAATTAATAATGATAAGTTGAATTAATTATGTTGAAACTGATAAGTTAAATTAATTGTATATTCTAATTCTAAAATAGTCCTGTAAATTGCTATATCGGTTCAATATAGTTATGTTATTTCTTAAATTGTTTAAATAATAAAATGTTACTTGTTAAAAGCAAGACTTCTATTTATTCTTTATTTAAATTTAGTAAAAACGCCACAATAATATGTTTGCCAAATTAGCTATGCCCAAACTTAAGCTACTTCTTTTTATTTTTTCCATCATGATTCTGATTCCGTACGAATACATTTATGACACGCCCGTCACGAAAAGGTTAAGGAATAAAACTGTACCAGATCCTTACAGGATGACTAATACTGTAGAAAGTGATGTCTAGTAAAAATCTGTTAAAATTAGCAAACTTTTCCAAGCATAGTTTTTTCAATTTATTATTGAAAGTGAATGTAAAGAATGTTTTCACTTTGAATTTGTATAATTTGTAATGTATGTCATAGTAGTAGTTTCGATTGAATAATTAAGTAGATTAAATAAATAAATAAAAAAAAGAACTAACTTTCTACCACTTTCTACATTTTTAGTTACCCGTGGCATCCCTGTCGAAAATAAAAAAAGATCAATAAAGGTAACACGTCCTCTTTAATTTTAAAGAAAAATTGCTAGTTTATGCAAATGAGATAGTAGGTAAAGACGTGACCTGATCTCAAGTTAATCATAATCGGTCCCTTGATGAAATTTATTAGTTAAATTGAAGCCATTGTTTTCCTGCCTTGCCATTTGTAGTCAGTGAAAAAATTTTACGATTAAAGGATTCTCGCATTCAGTGGAGGAGCTGCAATAAATGAGACTGAAGCCAAGACATGTAAACAAAATATTTATAAATAAAAAGAAAATGAACTGTACATCACTCATCTGTACAATATATAATTATGTATAAATTAAAATGAAGTTTATTATAAATAGTCTTTTTTAGTACAGGCGATTAGTTTCACCAGTAATAACTGCTTAACATCGGCATCAAATGCATCTCGCATCTGACGTCACTCTGACGCACTAGTCACTGGCGATTATCACTCTGCACGAGAATAGAGTCCGTCATCTGAGAGTCGGGTAACTTCTGAAGGAAGCTGCATCTGCAAGCGGAGCATTCATCTCTTGCCATTCGTAAATTCTCTGCTGTCTGAAAGAAAGAAATGAATTTCAATTATGATTGAATTTCAACTCATTCGATGCCAAAGTAAGAATTTATTTTGGAAAAAACAGAAATTTTTATCCTTAATAGATTTATTAATTTATAATTATCCGCTTGAAGGGAAGCGGAAGAACTTATTACCACAAAATTTAATCTTAATTAGCGACACCATACTTGCTTATTTCATCCTTATTCTGATAAATCGGATCATTTAGAGGGGTAATAAATTTTATGATTTAACATTTTATTATTGTTTTAATATATTCAATCTAGAATGATTTTGGTCCCCACTTTCTGCAAACAACATAAACTTATATTGAATTGTGCGCAGAAGAGATAAAATGCTGGCAAACTTAAGTTTACCTAAAATTGCTATTTCGCTACCACTTTAAATATTCTGGAAGTTTAATTTAAATTATTATAATAACTACAGCCGACCGGCCTATGTAGGGGGCAGGGAACTGTTCTTGCATCAGAAAGGACCTGGGTTCGAATCCCGGGCAAGGCATGGATGTTTCTTTCTCTCTCTGTGTGTTCTATGCCCTTTCTCCTTTGTGTGTGAATGTGACTCGCCCTATAAACGGATTGTGGTTGTGTGAATGGCGTGGCAGAAGTCGAATTCCTGGCCATAGATGGCGCCACTGAAAAACAGGAACAATCGCCTCCCCCACTGCCTAAACAGGCATACCACAAATAATAATAATAATAACTACAGAAATATTTTAATCCCTTATTTGAAAGCATTATTGAAAAAAAAAATTCAGTCAAGTTAATCTCACATGGTTTTATGCCTGAAAGTTCCGCGGGAACAAATTTGCTCTGTATAAGCACAGGCCTACCAACTACTACGCGTTTAGTAAAACATTTTATAGGTTGGTAGACATTTAAAAACGAAAGTTTTCTGATTTTTTGATAATTATGCACACATTTTAAAAGCTTCACCACGAAAAAACTGGAAGAAAGTGTCGTTGCATATGAACTTTTAAATCATTTATATGCAGTGGTGTGAAAAATAAGCTTAAATGAATTAAAAATAATACATAAAAATATTAACTTAGCTACCACTAGAATAAATTTTTGCAAAAAGAGTAGAAAGTTGGCAGCTCTGTTAATAGAATAGAGACCAGACGAAGGCCTCAGGTGAGAGCTACAATGTCTTCTTATCAGCGATACGGCCGGGGTGGAAAGCAAACGGATAAATGGGCCCGAGCGATGAGTCGTCACATTCTCCGAAATGATGAGCGATGAAGAAGGCTTAGAGTGGGCCAGAAATCATGTTAACTAATATGTTTTAAAGAAACATAGTAGATTCAAGGGTTAAGCATTACGAAGATCGTGAAAAATGTAACACTTCATTCGAATTCGATGAGCTTTTTCTCAGAGCTTTTAAGGAAAGACGGAATGAGTTATTTCCTGAGGAAGCTGACATGGAGACCGCTATATCTTCAGAGACTGAAGGATTGCTCACACAGGTACGCCGGCAGGTACCTCAACGGATGCACCGTCCTAGATCAGTTGACCTTCAGTCAATCCATCTACTTTTTTAAACTCCTGGTTGCGAATGGCAAAATTGCGTTTCGGCAATCAATTATTCAATGCATGTATGAGTGAAGAATGAATACCCACGAATAAAGATAGCTAATCTGACGTCACTTCGTGTATTTGCCCTCTATTTATGTATCAATAATAACAGCAACTGGTGATCTCTTTTGTCGAATGAATTAGTTACTCCACGAAAATGTGCATACTGATTACCTATTTTAACTGGATTAAAATTCTCATATAGAAATCGAATGAAATTAGAAAGCAAAAACTCAAAAGAATAATAGTTTCTCGCTCTTCATTGGAATTAAAGTAGTGTAATTTATCATTAAGAATAGCAATATTACGGCAATTGATTGATTGATAGTAAGCAAGTGCTTAAGTTCTGAATTTAGCAGTAGAAAACTCTATTGAATACACAACTGGATAAAATTATTACTACTGTTAAAATACTTACTCTGCGGCGCTTAAAATTGGTGGATGACCCCTAAAAAGGAGAAGAAAAAAATATTTTATGACAAGTAATAAAATAGTGCCATATGTGAATATGGGGAAAACCATGATAATTTGTTCTGACTGTACTTCAAGATTTGATATTGTTATACTTTCTTAAAGAAATGATAAAAAATAAAGTTTTCCTCAGAAATAAAAATTAAATCACTTTTACATCGAAATTAGAAGAAGTAAACAATATAAAATCAGTCAGAAATATTTTGCTATATACCAGAGGGGTTACAAATTTTCGCAGTTTCAACAGTATGCAAGTTTAATCAATATGACTTGATCGAACTCGAATGCTGCGTTTTCATTTATGTATAGTGCGAAAAAAAAACGGATAACCCTGAATAACCCTTTTGATCTAATGATCGGATCTTCATTTTCTAGAACACAATCTTAATGGTTCGAAGAGATGATTTAAAATATGTAATTAGTTAGTGCTGGCGATATTTAAAATTACGAAATCATGCATAAAAATGCAAAAGTTATTCAAGGTGGTCCCTTTTTTATTTTGCGCACTGTATCAAGTTTAGTATATGAAACGCCTCGGTTTAGACTCAACTCAGTGTATCCTCTTAATTCAAAGATCCCTGTAATTGTTCATCCATTTTAAATATCTAAATGGACCGGCATAACCTGGTTGGAACGGCACTGGACTCACGTTCAGGAGAACGGGAGTTCGCATCCAGCTGGTCGAAGACTCCTCGTGCAGTAAATGGTGACTGGTGCACGTTAAATCAGTCGGGTCACGAAGTCTTCCATGTTTTCATATTAAATTATACCTCTGCGGGTACTGAATTGGAGATTGATCGTTCTCTGGTCCACGCTTATCCCTGCTGAATTCGAAAAATACCTGGAACATTTAACCAGTCAAGGGAGAGGACTCAAAATACGCATGAGGGGAGGGGGGAGGAGTAAACTAGCCATTGAACTACAAACTTTGAAACTAAATAAAAATAAACATGCCTAATGTCATATACAACACTTCTCGGCGAGAAAATTAAAAAAAAAAAATCCATTTTTTTAAATTTCATCTTTTTGAGGTTCAAAATCAACAGTGAATGACTTCGAACTGTCCTGAAATAGTGAGAACTTAATATTATTGTTTTCGTTACCCAAATGGGTTGAAAAGAATTTAGAAGGTTACTAAACTTGGTGAATTAAAAGAAAACTAAAATCGATAGATGAAGGACAGTTTTAGAACAGTTTTCTCATCTTCATCATAGTTGGCCAGACAGACCAATGTGGGCCAATGCCTTCCAAGAACAATATTCTACACTTTAATACAAAACAGTTAATGGACTTTACTCACCCATTTTCAGTCATATATACACTGTGAACTGAAAAGAAAAAACAAATTCAGTTTAAACTAAATAAATAATTTCAGCATTTTCAACTATACAATTCAAAATTACAAATTAAAAGAAAAAATTAAAAAAAAAAATTGGACAAATAATTCTAGAGATATAAAAATGTTAAAATACCACTTTTTCGGAAATTTTAGTACCTCAGAATCAATTTGACCAGAAACTTTGTGTATTTCGTAATTGTGTATTTTGTGTAACTAAATTGTGTATTTTATCATCTATAGTGGTGTAAACCATACAGCGCAATTTTTTTTATCCCGATTAGATAAAACAACGAAAAATAATAAATAATCATTAAAAATTATTTTTTATATGAATAATTTTAAGGAAAACAAATTTCTCACCTGTGCAGAAATTTTTTTCATTTAGTTTAAAAATTTTCCAAAATTTAGCGAAATTTCGAAGAAAGGGAATAGATAATGTTAAGGGGATCAAACTTTCTATTGCTTTATTTTCTTGACTAAAGTATTGGCACCTTATTTTCCAGATTACGGCTATATTCACATATATCAATAGTCGAAATCAATAGACAATTAAAAAAAAGAAGCGTTTTTTCGGAAAAAGTACGTTTTTGTGTTTAATCCTGCAACTTAATTAACAGTTCGCTCTAATTAATTAGCATATTTGAGGACACCATTTTAAGCCATTACGATTGGCACTTAGTTTATAAAAATACGATCACTAGAAGAAAAGTTGTTCAGGAGGATATATTGCTTTTTCTCTTTTTTCCCTCACTGTATATGGTATATTATCTAGCGTTTAGTCGAAAGAAAAAAAAATTTCAGCTCATTTTCTCCTGGGGTATTTTTTTTTAAAAGGCTGCTCTATTTCAGAAAGGAAAAAAAAGCGGTAGCACAAGTGTTTCATTATTTTGCATAAACAATATAATTCTGTCTCTAATTATATCTAAAGCCGTGGTGGCTCAGAGGATAGAGCGTTCGCCATCCGATGAGATAAACCGGGTTCGAATCCCGGCAGTGGCTGGTCAATGCGATTGCCACATCCTGCTCGCACCAATCATATTCAGACGTAAAATATTCTCAGTGGTAGACGGATCATGGGTTAGAGTCCTCTTACCGTCAGACTAACCGTGTGAGGTTTTCGTGACTTCCCTCTTCGTGTAACGCAAATGAGGGTTAGTTCCATAAAAAAAGTCCTCCACGAAGGCAAATTTCTCCCAATACTTGATCCCGAAGTTCCCTTATCTTCTGGATAGGGTTCAAAATTACAAAACTACGGTGTTGAACAGTAGTAGTCATAAGCCCAAAATTGCGTCGAATGCTCAACGACGGTTATCAAATAAAATAAAATAAAATACAATAACATATTAATGATACAAATACATAAATCCGGATATGAAATCAAATAACAGTGCATTTTTAAAGACCAAAGTGGTAGGTAGAAAAACGAATTATCCACTTGGTATAAGCAAATATTTATTACCAATTTTGCAGATAACTGTTATTCATACATTGACCACTTTTTGTGACATGGCTGTCATACGTTCCACTTGTGCTACTACTTTTCTTTTTCTCTCTCTCAATAGTAATTGAAGAAAGGAGGAAAAAGTAAACGGAATTATCAATACTTACAATAGGACGATCTCTTCAGTTTCTTCTTGTAACTAAGGGGGGGGGGGGGGAANTTATAAGCTTCCCTCCGACCAGCACAGCTCTAAAAGGGAAATCATTCCTTATTATTCATTTAATGCAGTGAAAGGAATATTTTTCAGGATTTTATAAATGGAAATACAGCTTTATGTAAATATAAGAAAACATTTTTACTTCAATAAATATTATTTAAGAACTATGCGAATTTCATCATGTCATCTGGATTTTATAAGCGTCAAAATGGCGGTTCAAACAAAAATCATTGTTTGAAGACTGAGATTTTAAAATGTAAAATAATATTTGAGCTGAGAGAGAGAAAAAATGTTTTGAAAATGTTCTCTTCTTACTTCTATGGCAACGACACTGTAGTTTGAGTAAAGTTCTCGAATACTTGGCGATTTGGCTCGATTCAGTATTTTCATAACTTTTTTAGGATCGATGATGACATCATTTTCTAATAGTTGAAAACAGGAACTTGTGCTGAAAAAGGAACACGATATTATAAATAAAGTAGATTATCATGTAGTGCAATGGAATAAACCACATGATTTAGAACTTTCATTCACTTACCAAGTACAGTTGTAATAGAATGAAAGCAGTAGTTTCATTAAAAGCGTAAAAACTTTGGTTTTAACATGAGGGAAAAAAAGGAATGTCTGAGTATGGAGTAGTTTTTTTTAAAAAACTTATCGATTATATATTATGTAAGCTTTGTGAAATAGTATCATTAGAGGAAAATTTATTTAGATTAAAATGGGAAATTTGAAAATAAGATGAATTTTTACAATGTTTATTGAAAGACTTAAATATATAAAATCTTTAAAATACAGCAATGCAAATTAGCTTACTAAACTAAAAACTCATTAATTTGTTAGCGACCTCATTTAAAGCAATTTTTTTTTCTTCAGAAATCTAAAAACTAGTAGAATAATTATTGCACAAACAGAGATTCTAAATGAACCCACTTTGTTGTAATTTTTTTCTTGTGTTAACTAAATCAATGTTTTTATCTATGAATATCGGTTTAATAATGTTGATTTAATAGAAATAAGCCTACTGCGACTTATAAATAATTTAAACGTTTATATGAAACACCACATGTACTTGTGGCCAAACTTTTCAGTTGTTAGTTATATTAATTTTTTTGTTGTCGCTAGATTTAGTTTTCAATTCTCTATCACTTTATAATTTTTTCTTCTTTCTTTTTCTATCAACTTCGTATTTTCGACAGTTAGCTTGCAAATTATAACTATCAGAATCGATTTTTAAAGATGTTTGACCTAGTAGTTTATGTACCGAAAATCGCCGTTTTATACTATTCTGTACTTTCCCAATTTTGTAAAAATATGTAGTTCAATATTTAAATTGATAAGATTAGTTGTGTGTTTCATTTAAATTGAAAGGTGATGCATTTAATTCACTTCCATGTAAGCACTTTTTTTGAGGAATAATTTGATAAAAAAAATGGCTAAATAAAAGTTAAAATATAAACTCATTGGAAAAAATTTAAGTAAAAATGATTCGATTACAGCGCATCATATCAAAAAAGGTTAAAGAAATAAAAAGAAGAAAAACCGATTTCTTTTCCAATTGTTAAAAATTAACTTTTAAAAAGCTTTTATATGGGGGGGGGCTTGAAAAAGTTTTGACTTGTAAAGTGGGTGATGAGGTTAAAAAAGTTGGAAACCTATGTTCTAGATAACCTCATAAACCAAAAAAATGGGTAGTAACATTTCTAATCGGTAATTTGCGAACTCACTGATGCTTTACTTTTCCAATAAAATATTCTGAGAATAGAAATTCCACTCAGGGATACTCGAATTTTGAAATGAAATACTGAAATGATTTAAAATGAAATAAAATAAATAATTGGAAAGGTATAAGGATATGAGTGCTCAGGGGATAGAGCGTTCGCCTTTCCAATGAGGTGAACCGGATTCAAATCTCAGTCGATACGAATTTCGTACCCGGTTCTCACCGACCACAGTACTGACGAAAAATATTCTCTGTGGTGGACGGATCATGGGTTAGTCCCCATGCTGTTAGGTTAACCGTGGGAGGTTTTCGGGGTTTTCCTTTTCATGTAACGCAAATGCGGGTTAGTTCCCTCAAAAAGGCCTCCACGAAGACAAATTTCTTCCAATACTCTAAACAGGAGTTCTCTTGTTTTCTGTATTGGGTTCAAAAGGACAAGACTACGGAGTTGAACATTAGTAGTCGTGAACCCAAAATTAGGTCGGCTGTTTAACGACGGTTATAAAATATATTTGATTCATTTTACTTTTCAACTTTTTTGTAGCTTCTTATGATTTTTACGAGATATCCTTCAAATGTAAGTTGATATATAGAAGTGTTTTTATGTTTAAAAAAAAAAACCTACCTCTCAAAATCGAGACTTCCGTCATTTCTGGCATAGAAATTAGTATCATAAACATTCAACGATATGGGTTTGGCAATTGCTAACTTTAATGCTCTGAAAAATAAAGAACGCAAACAAATTATGTTCACATTTATGTAACAAAAATAGCAGTGATAATTTTAAACATAAGCAATTTAAATTTCCGTTAAATTTCGTTACATATCCTTAAGCATAAGCATTTTCAATTTTCATTACATTTCGTTGCATTTATATATTAACAAAAATAGCAGTGATAACTTTAAATACAAGCATTTTCCATTTTCATTATATTTCGCTACATTTATTTAACAAAAACAACAGTAATAGCTGTAAGCATAAGCATTTTCAATTTTCGTTACATTTATACAACAAAAACATCAGTGATAACTTAGAACTTAAAATTTTTTTATTTTAGTTATTTATTTCGTTATATTTCGTTACATTTTCAATTTTCGTTGCATTATTTTTTTTCAAAATTTTTAAAAATTCTAAAAAAATACTACTATTACAACTTATTACATTGCATTACAACAGTGAAGAGGATGAATACTTTACTTTTCAAAATCTGGAATGATTTCCCTGACTTCGTTTGGCCTCTTGTAGAAAACGAATTTCAACAGATCACGGTCTTGAAGAACGAAGATCTGTAAGAAAACAAAATAAACGAACAGATTATTTATGGTGCACTTTGCTGTAAGCATCAAACACTTAATAAATAGCCTTACCTTGACGTTTGCGAACGCCATGTATCTTGCATCCGGAGAGCTCCGAGCATCCACTGTGATTTCGAAGTGACCACCGACGTACTTTCCAAGAGCCTCATTATTGCTGAGAGCACCGGTTGCTGGATGAATGTGGAATGCATCTAACACCGCATCATTCTCTTTCGTGGATGGCTGATGAAGAGATAAAATCCAGTGAGCGTACGAAATAAACTTCTTTGGTGTCTCATAAATAAAATATCGTAAATTATTCCGCTATGGATCAGGGACGTAAATGTTCCACACTTTCGTGACCAACGTCATAATTGTGACAATGGGGTCAACACTACGCACAGACCGCCTTTACAAGCAAGGTAAGCTGATACCCGCCGATCTGAAGCTGGATGTGTTTCCAACAGCCACTGGGAATCGAAATATATTAAAAATCGCTCCAAGGTTTTGAAGCCAATAAAACTAATTTTTTTATTGCTTAACAGAGAGAGGAAATTCTTGAAATTTCAGATTTCCGTTCCATTTTATTTTTTTCATTCTGCAGTGTGCAGTTTTTACGCAAAAAAAAAAAAAAAAAAAANAAAAAAAAAAAAAAACCTCGAAGTAAATTTTAAAACATTCTATATGACATACGAAGAAAATTACTCTCGATATAGGCATTAGTCGGTGAAAGGGTATTGGAGTTTTAAATTTCGAAACTAATGGTTTGATAGTGTGATTGGAGTTAGCATTGTGCCCCGGTCGTCATGACTCCCCAGTCAAAGCTAGTACCCATAGATCTGAAGGTGGGTGGGATGGATGCCGTCACCCCAGATAGAACTCCACAATGATTGCTCAGAACCTTAATCATTGTGCCATCGTGGCTAAATTAAATTGAAAAAACTAAGTTATTCAAAGTGAATTTGCTTTCACTGTTATTTATCATATCTGGATACACTTTCAGTGTGTAATATTCACTTTGTTTCCTTACTGCTATTTAGTATAGCAGCCAACTTTAAGACGATTTTATATATATACAGGGCTACCAACATTCTTCACTTTTTGTAAAAACTTATTCTAGTGGTAGCTAAGTTAATGTTTTAATGTAATATTTTTATTGACTTAAACTTATTTTCCGCACCACTATACACGATTAAAAAGTTCATATGCAACGCCACTTTGTTCCAGCTCAGATATGTCTCTCTCCAAAAGTGTTGGAAAAACCAAATTTTGATTTCTCGGAAAACTGCAAACACATTGAATCAGTTTAAACCTCTTCTCCGCGATCATTTTGTACCTTCACACAACTCAACCTCTCCTCAAATTTATTACAGAATTTTGTGCTTTGATTTCTACAAATTTATATCGAATTAGTTTAACCCTTGGTGCCGTGCAATGTTGCTTAACCCTTTTGAAGGCCGTGGTAAGTATACTTACCACCACGTTTTACCACTTTTAATTTAGGTTTCCATTTTTCAATAACTTCAGCTTTCTTTTATAAATTTAATTTTTAAATGATTTTGATCACCATTATTCTTACAAAAATTAAGAACATATATCAATATGCGTCACTATCATGGATGTCAACTTAAGTTTTCTCAAATGCAACGTATTTGTTTGCTTAAAATTGAAGTTTTAATTCCATTTTAATACCACTGGGAAAAATTATAATGGAAGNACCTTTACTAGAAATAAAGGGCCCGTTAAAGGGTTAAAGCCATGGTAAGTATACTTACCTCCGAAGTCCATATTAACTTTTCTACCACTTTTATTTTAGGTTTTCATTTGTTATTAACTTCAGCTTTCTTGAAGAGCGTTTAAATAAAATTAGCAACCATTTTTTAGTATAAGAAAACGTGAAAAAGTTATAAAATGCGTATTCCTTCTGAAGCTCAATAAATTCCTAATAGGTCGTGGTAAATATATTTAAATTAAAATTTAAATTAATTTTTTATAAGCTAAATGAGTTTTTCTTTTCTTATATTAATTACTACTCTTATATGAATTTCAATTCCAAATATTATTTAATTTCAATTCACTAGAAACAAATGGCCCACTAAAGGGTTAAAGTTTGTTCATCATGATCATCTTGTACCCTTACTTCTCCTTCATCATCCACTCAACTCATCACCTTCTCTCTCTCTCTCTCTCTCTATACAGCACAGAGGATAAAAGCTAAGATCCTCTTCTTAATCAAATCCAATCCACCTCTTTTATGTTAGCTTTTTAAATTTTTGAAAAAGCAACAAGAATTCGGAAAAGTTTTTTTTTTTTTTTTTTTTTTTAAATGTCTTCNTTTTTTATTTTTAAATGTCTACCACTCTATAAAATATATTGGCTGACTTGTATATAATGTGATTGATTCCCGTTTTCATCAAATTTGATTAAATAACTCCCAGGTTCCAATTCAATAGTTTAAAGACATTTTAAGGAACGACATATTAAGTAAACGATCATATCAAGAGTGAGGGTAGATTGTTCAATTTAAATAAAGAAAAATAGTTGCTTTCCAAATGGTGCTTCCCGAATGGTGTTGCACGGAACACGCGTCTTCTGGGTAACGGCAGTGTGGTGTCCGTGTCCTTATTGAAATGTGCTGGGGATTTACGGAGTGGCCATGAAAAGCAGCAAATTCGCGGATCGGCTGACCAAACCCTTGGGATCCGTGGAAGGGTTGAAGAGTGAGTTATAACCAGTGATGAGTTTTGAAACTTCCGACTCTATTTAAATCCGTCCCATAATTCAATCTTTTGGATGCCTGTGTGAAATTATTTCAACAAAATGGAAATGTCTTTTCTTTTTTTAAAGAAAATATTATATTTCTTATTACAATATATTGAACAAGTTATGAACAGAACAAAGTAAACTATTGCATTTCCTAACACTCTTTTTCAAATCGAAATAAAATAACTAAATTCTTTAATAAAGAAATATGCTTCCTTTATAACCATTTTCAACATTTATCTTAAGTTTTCATTTTGAAGTTAACCTTAATTCGGCTCATTTTATTTATTTTTAGATTATGTATATACACCAAAAATAAATTCATAACAGATAAAGATCAAGGACTGCAACTCTCTGACATTAAACCTATTTTAAGATTATTAACGATGAAAAAATCTTCATTCCTCTAATTAAACACTCGCATATTAATAATAGTCTTCTATCGATTATAACGTTCACAATTACTTTATTTGAAACGTCGGGGTTCCTTAGCAGAAAAAAATTCATCAGTGAGCGAAAAAAAGAACAGTGGTTGCAAAAAAATTATGAAAAAGACGCCAATAATATCACATTTCTAGTGGTTTTTGTAAATTTTAATTAATCAGACTCAGACTGGGGCTCACGGAAATGTTTGCAACTAACATATTTTGTTTCAGTTCTTTTTTTCAATTTTTATAATGGATAAAAAAATTTAACCATTTTTCACAGTTTTGTCTTTTAACTCTTTTTGGTGCAGTGCAGCCAGTTTGGCAACACTAATTCAACTAATATTACAAATCACTAAAAATATAAAACTAATTGCTTTTAAACAATTAGAAGCCATTATTCCTTAAAAAAATCTCAAATATGCCACTTCACTTAAAACATTCTGTATAAGGTCACACTAGCTTATATCCTGCCTGATTAAAATTTTTAATCGAAACTTATTGTTCCAAAAAGGGTTGAATTTTTCATTCTACATACATGAAAAATTTAAATTTATTTTATTAATCTTGATAATATCTGTGCTCTTAAAGTTTTTTATATTTCTGTTTTGCATAAACTTCTCTAAAAATCAATTTTTTTCTCTATAATTTTAAATTTTATTTTTTTCGCTAGTAAGACAAAAATTCTCTTCACTGATTTGTTCACTGATGGACACTTTTGTCCACTTTCTTTTTAACTTTCTAAAAATTAAATTTTTATTTCAATAGATTTTTTTCAAAGCAAGTAACAACTGTTTAAATTATGTGGAAGAAAATTCCAGATTTTTTTCTCTGGGACGTCTCTGGCCATTAAAAGATACACATAGAAAACATTTTTACCCTAATAAATGTGATGTTTCTAATGTTGTACATGATTGGACTAGAAGATGAGTCTGGGTCAGATGCATGCAGGGTTACCAACTCTGTATCCACAACTGTGTTGCCCCTTGCACCTGAAAATTGAATCGGTCAGTCACTTCTAGAGAATACAGGGTGTTCGAAAATGTAAAGAAGTTCGATTAAAAGTATCTGTTTGTACGAAAAACGTTAAATTAAATATTTTTAATCTTGTTTTCCACACGAATGATATCGACAATGAATTACCCGACTTATTTTCATTTTCATCGGAGTTTCTCGAATTCTTTTCAATTACAATATCATTTCCAAAATGCAAAGACGTTTATTGAAGACATCTTTTTGGGGGGATCCAAAATCGGGAATTAAAATTTCCTATTCAAGATTTTTTTTGAAGTTGCTCTATTTTGTGTGTGAGGCTTTTTCATATTAAATATAACGAAAGTTTTTAGTTATTTACTTACTTATGTCTTTAAAAGTAAACAGTAGACGATAATAAATAAACATTCTAAGTGAAAAAAAGTTTAAGTTTTGTTCATACCGCCTTTAATTGCGGCAAAGAACGTGATCACATATAAGTGATCACGGTTCTCCTATCACGGTGTCATATATGAAACAAGACTTTCAGAATTCAGCGGCCCAAGATCAAACGGACGTGATTTTAACACGGTACTCTCGTATTATTACTTATAAAATTTTTAGTAGGTTTAAACTCGAAGCTTAAGGGCCTAAGGAAATGCTTCCTCCGGCCCTTTTTAGTGGTAACAGCTTGAATTAAATTATAATATTTTGCTACCAATTTATACTTTTCGAGGAATAACAAAAGCAATACAGTAATATTCAAGTACAGTCAAACACCTCTATAGTGAACACGGTTTATAGCGAACTCCCGGATACAGTGAAAGAAATGTTCACCCCCGTGCCTTGTTACACACCTATAATGTTATTTTTTGTGGATATAGTGAACCAAAACAAGAGCGGAAGTTGGATATTATGAACTTTTTCTGCCTTCGACTGATTTATTTTCATTTTTTTTTTTTGTAATAATTTTGAAATTTCCCGTTCAAAATAAATATATATACCGATTTTTAAAACTATCTACCTACAGCATGGAATGTCAATAAGCATTTTTCTTGTTTGCTTCTTTATTAAATAGCATTATTGAATTGGTTCAGCGTTCAAGGAAGCCGCAATCGTTCAGCATCTGGACAAATGCTTGAAGTCAAAACCGATGAATTTGCTAAGCGATTGGGTGGGATTACTTTTATAGGCTCGAATGGATGGTTAAACAAGTTTAAAAACTGGAATAACATAAATTCAGGAAAAATTATCGGAGAGTCGGGAAGTGTTTCCATATCTGATGTTGAGGATTGCGCATCAGCTAAAGATTACGAACTTTCTTTGTACGTAAGGCGAACAGTCATAAAAAAAAGTTAACACATTTTTGTTACTACGTATTATTTTCCAGTCATTTTTGCATTTGTTTAAACATTTATTTAAATAATGTGTAATAAAAGGTTGGAGTTTGGAAAGAGTAATTAAAATTGTTCGCGGAATGGATATAGTGAAGTCCCGGTTATAGTGAACCGAACTTTCGGTCTCTTGAAAGTTCAGTATAACGGGGTTTGACTGCATTAATAAAAAAGTGGTAATTTATAAAAAGGAATAGTTTTTACCTAGTACGTAGAGGGGTGAATCGAATGCGGGAGGGTTATCGTCAATGTCCTCAACGATGATTGTCACCTGTGTTTGAGAGAGATCTTGATAGTTGTAGGGCTGGTCGAATGAAGTCACCGGTTCTGATGGTTTGCTCACTTTGATGGTGAGGGTCACCTTCGTCATGTTTTCCCTGTCGATCCTCTTTTGAATGACCAGCTCACCCTCATTGTCTGAATTGCGTCGGATTGAGAACACGTTGTCATCGTTCCCATCTGTAATTGAGGCATTGTTCAGTACATATTCAAAAAATATCACTGTGGTGTTCATTATACTCAGAGCACTTAGAAAATAGTAAAAACGAGATTAGCCATTTAACACACTTGTGACATCAAAACTGTTAAACTAAACCAGGAAAATGCATTAAAGACCAGGCATTATGGCGCCAGATTAAGTATAATAAATGGCGATCAAAATATTGTCAACACTTTTTTAGTTGAAAATGTCAAATAATTTCTTTCATCGCTATTTTCAAAATAGGCGTAGACATCGCTGGTAAGTCGTGACCTAACAGTTACGAGTAACAGTTGCAAGCTCAACTCAGTTATAAAAATAGCAATTCCCAAAAAGCATCATTTCATATTACGACGGAGCATTCGATAAATATCCTCAAATGAAAGTTTTTTTGATCGTTCAAAACATCCAATTTTTGAAAAAAGTTACTCCATTGTACTCATAATTACCTCACTATTGACTAAGGGAAAAATGAAAATTTTTATGAAGTTGAAAGATGGCGTCACTGCGAAAGAATGATTAGGTCGAAAAGTTTTTTTCTTCTGGAAGATTATAATATTCAAATAATTAATTTCAATTTTCCTCCTTACACTTCATTGCTTTGTCGAAGAAGAATCTATTAATTTTGGCAAAATAAAGATGAAAGAAATCAATTTTTAGGTCTTGCTAATTTGTTACATTTCTGATGCATCTGGATGATTCTGTTATTCTTCGAAATGTTTTATTTTTGAATCTTGTTATTCTTTTCTGTTAAGTTTCTGTGATGTTACATCAGGCACATGAAAGAATTGGCAGAAAATCATTGAAAGTAGGCGTTTTTAGATATAGTTGAAGTTTAGATTTAGATTCCAGAAGATCATCAATGCTGTTGACAGCGCAGGCAACTTTGCGATAAATGCAATACAGCTGTAATTCAGAGGATACTTTAAATTTTTAATTTGTAGTGGTGAAAAAATTACTTATACTGAAAAATAATAAAGCAAAATTAACTTAACTACTAGATAATATTTTTTTTACAAAGCAGAGTAAGTTGGCATCTCTGTAGCTTCTTTGCCTTTAAACCCAAGAGTTATTTACTATTTTAATAAACTCACATACTTTTTATCTAAATATTGAGTCTGGGGACAGAGAGTCCGCTTTCCAATAAGGTGAACAAGGTTCGAACTCCAGTGATGATGGATCAATTCGAATTCCGCACTCGGCTGACCACTGTGTTCACGTTAAATATCTTCAGTGATAGACGGATCATGGGTTAGAGTCCCCTTTCTATCAAGCTATTTGTGAGAGTTTTTCGTGGTTTGTTCTCTCCATGTAGCGCAAATGCGGTTAGTTTCATCAAGAAGTCCTCCATGAATGCAAATTTCTCCAATTACTTGATGAAGTAGTTTCCTTGTTTTCTGGACTGGGTTCAAAATTACTAGGCTACGGAGTTGAACAGTAGTAGTTGTAAACTCAAAATTGGGTTGTCTACTCACCAACGGTTATAAAATAAAATATTGATGTTTAACCCTTAACGGACCATTGCCACCAGATAAAATTCTCACTTATTGGATCAGAATCATTTTTATTGCTTTCAATTACAATTAATTTAACCATAATTAATTATGTAATTCTGAATTAATTTGTGGGACAACTGTATTTATCGTGTTATGTTCTTATTTTGTATATTCAATTTAATTAGCCTGTACCTTTCATCTTATCTTCTGATAAAATCTTACACGGCGACAAAAACTTACATCTATTATATATAATTCTCTTACGTGGCTCCCAAATTTTGGCTGTATTTCTTTTCCACCGGTGGCAACGTTTGCTTTGTTTTGAAAACACCAAAGCATTCTGCCTTTTAATGACGTGTTTCTGATCTAATATATATAATTCTCTTACGTGGCTCCCAAATTTTGGCTGAAGTACTTTGTTTTTAACTAAATAAGATTCTTTTCACAACAGTTAAATATTTACTTTATTTTCTTCATTCATAGAGAAAACAGNTATTCCCGGAAAAAAACTAAAAACTGAAATTTATTGTTACCAGTTTTACTCCGGTGCGCTGACAAGATGAGACAATCCAGCGTGACCCACCGGTGGGTCACCTCGGCGTGAACTTGTTAATTATATAATTCTGAATTAATTTGTGAGACAACTGTATTTATCGTGTTGTGTTCTTATTTTGTATATGCAATTTAATTAGCCTGTACCTTTCATCTTATCTTCTGATAAAATCTTACACGGTGACAAAAACTTAAATTATATTATCTTACTTAAAATGTAGTAATCGATTATGGCATTCACTCCTGTATCGTTGTCCACGGCCTTCACAACTCCAGCTATAGTTCCGATTGGCTGTTCCTCTTTTAAAACTATCTCGATCGGTTGACTTTTCTGGAAAATGAAAGAAAATTTCTTTCAGTTATATTCTGTTTCATTAAACGTTAGAAATGCAAGATAACTTATCGAAGTGCTCACCAGAGGTCTCTGAAATTGTGGCTCGCTGTCATCCACGTCGTGTACAAACAGTCTGAGAACTCTGTGAGCTTCCTGAGGAGGAAATCCGAAATCGTGTGCAACTACTATCATCTGTGAAATTTTTTAAAAAAAGAAACAGGATTAATCAAATGATTAATCTTTTAAAATAGGTAAATATTAAATTGGTATTTCAACAAGTGGTAATTGTCCTAAAAATAAAGTGGCATTAAATTTTATGACAGGGTGATCACAACTGGTAAAATATATGAAGGACTAATGAAACAAATTGTTTCTACTCATCTGTATCAATTAAAATGTGTTTGTAAATATGAGGAGTTATAAGGAGTTATGAGGAGCTACCAATACGATTTTTGAAATAATATTTTATAAAGTGGTAGACAATTAAAAACTTTAGTTTTTAATTGTCTACCATTTTATAAAATATTTTTTCAAAATGTTTGGTAATTTTGCTAACATTTTGACGCACATAAATTATTGAATCATTTACTAGGCCTGCCGACTACTACACTTATTTCAAAATATTTTATAGAGTGGTAAGCATTTAAAAGCCAAAACCTTTTTTATCTTCTTAGTTTTACCAGCATTTTAAAAGCCTCACCACTAAAGAGCTGGGACAAAGTGGTGTTGCATAGGAATTTTTAAATCGTTTATACGTAGTAGCGTGGAAAATAAATTCAAATGAATAAGAAATAATGCATTAAAACAAAAACTTAACTACAACTAGAATAAAATTTTACAAAAAGCGTAGAAAGTTGGTAGCTCTGCATTTACATATAGTGGTCTGGAAAATAACTTTAAATCAAATTTACGAAACGAAGAATCATACATTAAAACATAAACCTAGCAGCTTCCACTAGAAGAATTTACCCCCAAAAACGTAGAAAGTAGACAGCCTTGGAATTTGGAATTATATCTCATGTACCTAGTTTCTAATGCCACTCGCCAATAACAGCAATCCTGTTTGGTGAAACCAAGCTAATTTAAGGAAGAAGGCGAGTTTCTTGCTTTTCAGTGGCGCAATCTATGGTGAAGAATACGACTTAAGTCCCACAAACGTCGCAGTCCGTTTATAGAGCGGGCACATTCATACATCCTTTATTCATGCACGGAACGTAATTTTGACGCGAACCAGAGAATGATCAATCTCCAATTCAGTATGCCCAGAGGTATCGATTTGTTATGGGAACATGGAGTGAACCGACAGATTTAACTTGCACCAATCACTACACGGGGTGTCAGTCATCAGCTGGCGGGGATCGAACTCACGAAATTTTGGACATTGGCGTAATGCTCTACCAGCCAGACTATCCCAGCCCCTGGGAATTATACCTAAATGTTAAAACTGGACAATTTAAATTATTAAGTAAAAGTGAAATCAAATCATTTAAAACTTCTAATAGCCTCATGAAATATTTGTCACCGCTTTTTAAATTTTTCACGGCCAGTCTGTATAAAATTACGGTCAGCATCACGAAACATTTGACAACGTTTTTATTTTCTTCCTGGCCGTAACAATCAGGTAACAGATAATAACTGTAATTATAAGTCGGTTAAATTTAGGAAATTCCAATTTTCAGTTGAAATCTCACCAATTGACATTTATTTTAAACACAAAATTGTAATATTTAAAATATTGTTTATTTTTAAGTCCCGTCAATTCTTTTGAAATGATATGAATGTCTGTTACTTCGGAAAAAGTTATTTTATAGGATTTAAAAAATACTGACAAGTAGATTTTAAATATCTATCGTCAATTTATTTGCGAAAAGAGAAACGATGATCGTTGGAGAAAAAGTATAATAGAATTTTTCTTTTCTCTTACTTTTTCTTTCTTTTTTTTTATCAGTTGAATTCGGACGGTAGGAAAGACTCTCCTAACCCTTATATGCAGAATAATTTTTTCAGAATGCAGCTATACTTTTTGCAGAATACTTCATACTTTTTTCATTATATTGTTATTCAAGTCAAAATAAGCAAATAAAATAATATTTAGCATTTCAACAAGTTATTGTTACGAAATATAGCATGAAACATTAGTATCTATTGCTGCGTTAAAGATAAATTCTTCCGAACACGGCCAACGTCTCCCATAACTGAAAGCCTCCACACGGTATTTTATAGGTAGTTCGATTAGACCACTATGAAGGTAAACCAGTTTACGAAAGAGCTATTTAATACAAAATCAAGTGAAAATAAGAAAGTGGTATCAAATATATGTCTGAAAATTTGTTTGATTAATGAATAGGATTGGTTTGTCTTATTTACTTAACAATCACTACAGATTCAATTCTCAAATACACATGATAAATTTCTCTCAATTACTATTAAAATAGAATTTGGGTTTAAACGCACAACTGGTTTATTTTTTAAATAGTCTACGCAGACTACTTATAAAATACCGTGTGGAGGCTTTCTGATGTAGGATGACATGGCTCACTTCCAACCCTATCAAACTAACAACTACAATAATTTTTAAATTTTCACTCATAGCTGTTATATAGATCGAAGAGAAACTGTTAATCATACGCAGGCCTGAAAGCGGGACGGAAAAGAGAAAATACTGGTAGAAGAACTATTTCAATATTAGATAATATTAGGGAGGAGTTAATCGATTCTCAGCAATAACAATTCACTGTAAGGAAATTCATCACGGCGAAGAAGCAATTTAATATAAAATTTGCATCCGTTAAAAACAATTGGTAGTTATGAATTTTTATTATTCCGGAAAAAAACTAAAAAAGGAAATTTATTTGTAACCAGTTTTTATTCTTTTCCGTCTCGATATATATGGGCTTTCAGCCCTGATCATACGTTGAAGTTTCTTTCATTTACAAAATCAATTATTGGTAAATTTCTGAACGCTAATGAAATTAAAAATTTTCGAATTACATTTTATATTTAGAACAAATGTAATTTCGATTACCTAATAGAATTTTTCAGTAACTATTAGTCCCGTAGTGGACTGATTGCTAAGACACGGCTCCCAGCAGATCACCGAAGTCAAGTATCACTGGCTGCGGTCAGTGTGCGGGTGGGTGACCACTTGGATCAGTCTGCGTAGGGACCGAGGGTGTGCAGTATGGGTCCTCGTTAAACTGTTCTACCGTAAAGTGCTCGACTTCGCTTACAGGTTGTCGGGCTACCGAAGAGGGGTTGCTATCCCCTCTGCAGAGGATGATTGTGATGGCATGTCTTCGGATCATTCTCAGGGATGTTTCTCAGACCGCCGCCGATAGCCCATTGTGTAGCTCCAGTGCGACGTAAATGAACAACAACAATTAGACTGCTTTTATAATTAAAAATTATAAATACATTTTTAGTAGTGATTAGAGAGTCAGAAATAATATAAAAGATATAAAATATATAAAAAGAACTAAGATGTCTCATCTGCGTCAAAGTATTAAGAGGATGCTATACTGCGGAAGAAGCTCTTTATGGCAAATTCTCTTTTATCAACAAAGGTAATTTAGAAAAGTGGGAGTTCATGTAAACTTAGTGAGAACCATGAAATTTCAAATGCTGAAAAAATACCAAAAAAACAAAGTATATAGATATTAATAAAGAGTAACAAAATAATAAATAAAATAATAAAGATTAATGAAAAGAGAAGAAGAAAAATTGTTAAAATAAAATAAGATAAGACTATATAAATATTGAAAACCTTTTTTTCTTCCTTTGGTACTTTATGGTTTACTCTAGGTTTACGTGAACTCCCTTTTCTTTAAACTTTAAATCTTACACTATCAGTGGCGTTGAAATAGAACAGAATTTGCCACGAAAAGTGTAGCGTCTTTTTAATGGAGAGTTTCTTTTATTTCGAAAAAAAAAACTTTTCTTTTTTGCACAAGGCAAATACATCCAATCATATTTTTTATATAAAAAAAAATAATAATGGATAAGTGAGAATTATAATAATTATTACTGTATAGTTTTCTTTCCTCTCTCTGTCCAGTGGTGACCGGGTCTTGATGATACCAGTGGCCGCATCGATTTCAAATTCATATCCGCTCTTTTCTGAACTTTGGTCATCCAGCAACTTGTAAGCCACTTTCCCATTGGCCGTGTTCGAATTGTCCGGATCAAAGGCTACCACCTGGAACACTTCCGTTCCTACTGTCACGTTCTGCAATATTCAACAAAACATTTCTCATTACTTACTAATAGAACATACAAAGGAGTTCTGCCTATAACAATATATATATATATATATATATATATAGATATACGAATATATAACGAATATAGAACGAATATATTAAATATATATCTCGTATATATACACCAAAGAGCCATTACATTATGATCACCCTCCATCTATAATAATGGGCTCACCCAGATTTTCATGGTTTCACATCCAGGAATAATATTTTCATGGGGCACATTAGGACCCATAATCCTCATAAAACAATCCCTGACGTCTGTAAGCTACTTGAACATAGTTGCAGACCAGGTTCACCCATTCATG